ATTTGTTTAAACACTAGCGCAAACAGCAGTTAGGTGTACTTTTTCATTTTCTTTTTCTTTTTATGTAGTCAAATGCTCAAGGATCTCGAAATGTATAAATTTTTATAATTGGCTATTTATGTTTGTCTAGTTTTTGTTTAAAAAGTTGAGAAGGATACGTAGTGTTGTATAAATTTTTGTTAAGCGTTTTATCAAGTTTTGTTGTGTACCAGTTTCCAGATGTTTGAGTCTCTCAACCAATTTCTGTAATTGAAACTAAAGTGCATTCCTTAACAAAACAAGCATTCTTTCATTAAAAGAGCATTTAAAAAAATAGACGACAACTTATTGTATTTTACTCTAACCAAACTGCAACGAATACCAGCATACCAAAGATAATTTTATTCAAAAATAAGCTTTTCTTTGATCATCGAAAAATGTGTCTTCTTTTAGCATTCATTTGCAAGATTTTTTCAAATATGTTTCAAACAGTTTGTCACAACAAACAAAAGTAGACAAAATGTTATCTTTGCAAACTTATCAACGTGCAAGTGTAGTTGAAATTAAAGTGATCAAAACATTCTATTAAAGTTTTTGGTTTCCTAAAAGCATTTCTTAATATGTTTTATGAAAATCGAACATGTCTGTTGTATATTGAAACCTTTTTGTACCACTAAACATTTGATTTTGTGTTATATTTTGATTTGATATTATATATATTAGGGGCAGATGAGGCTCTTTAGTTTTGGTGTAGACAACTTACATAGGATAAGGCAAAAATCTCTCAAAAATTATATAATTTTGCATTTAGGCATAAGTTTCTCAACTTATATAATTTTGCAATTCACAGTTTATATATATTTTCATGTAAGTGCAGAGGGAGCTTTTACACTTTAGATGGTAATCTCCACAGTGGTAGGATCATAATAAAAATTGTCAGCCTTGATCCGCAAAACAGGGTAACGCCAGGTGAAAAAGTACAAACCTTCCGTAAGATCATGTTTTAATAAGAGTATGGCATTTTGGAAGCTCATTTGAACCACACAGGTTTGAAAGCATTGGCGTTGCACTTTTTGCCGATCAGTTAAACTTTTTTTTGCTTTATTTAAAACCTAATGAAAAGATCAATTTTTTGTTTTGTTTGATTTATATAGTTTTTACTATTTCCATTCTCTTAAGATAGTTTTTTATAAAACTTACAAAAACATATTACCTCAAGTACTGTTACCAATTTCACCTTCAAGCGAAAGTTTTAGAAACTTGTTATTTTTTTAAAAAAGATGGGAAAATGTATTTTTGAAGATTCTACAGTAACAAATAAAGCCAGGCAAAATGCATTTGTTCACTTATACATTTAATTTGCAGTCAATTTAAGACGGCAAACAACTTTTGTTTCAGTTGGAATTTTAATCGTTTTATGATTTTAAAATTTCTTAAAAAAAAAACTTTGCTGACTTTTCCGTTTACCTTTAAATACGAGTTCATTAAAGCTATTGTAGATTCGATTTTTCTAACTTGTTTTTGTTAATTTTTCCCTTATTTGAATTGTTTTTTAGTTGAAAGTGATCAAATAAAGTCAATATTTTATTAGAAATTGAACTTAGATTTTTGTCTAAGTTAACATCAGAAAGTACACAAAATATCAGGAGCTATACAAAATGTCAGTAACTAGAAGTTAGTTTAGGAATCACTATATATTCACTCAACTTTACTATTCAAATCAATAAGTAAAGATTAAAGTTGTCATTGAAAGCGTTTTTGACGCACTATGTCACGAATTAGTTACTAATAGATTTGTTTCATTTTCTCAAATCATAGATATATAAAAATGAGTGTCAGATTTTCGTCTTTTCGGTGACATCGTTAGTAGTGAGTCTTTTATTACAGTGAGGTAATGATAATATGCATCATATTTTCATTATTTTTTTTCTTTTTATTTTCTTTCAAATGAAAGAATATGTTTATAATACTTGGAAATTCTTTCAAATTTCAAAAAGCTCTTTTTACCTTTTCAGTTGTCGTTTTTTATTATTTTAGAGATTTATGTTGCTACATCTGTTCGATTTTGATTTTTATTCCATTGTTTTAAGTTGTAAATGTATGTGGTGTCTGTCTATAGCTCAACGTTTCCTTGAAATAAAATTGACTTATTAATGGTAAAGCTTAATAATTTTAAAAAGGTTGTAAGCAGTTTTTTTGTTTACATGTGTGTGAATTTCAAGTGTGCTGAAATGCAGAAAATCTATTTCAAATATATATATATATATATATATATATATATATATATATATATATATATATATATATATATATATATATATATATATACATATTTTTTTTTTGGTATTTTTTTTTTATTTATAAATAATATTTTTGCTATTCAGCTCCTGGACCAGCAGAAAATGTTTTAGTTGAAAAAAGAAATGATAGTAGTGTTACGATCAATTGGAATGAGCCCTCTGTTAAAAATGGAACTGTGAAATACAGAATATTTTACGAGCCCCAAGACGATTCAAACAAAATCCAATCTTTTTTTGTTGAAACCAACGAAACTTTTGTGATTGTCGTTGGACTTAAGGATTATACTAACTATACATTTTTTATTCAAGCTTTTACTGCTTGTGGGAACAGCACAAGTGTGGCCAACACATCAGCTATGACTTATTTTGGTGATGCTCGAGGTGGTCCAGTTAATTTGACAGTTGCAGTTGTTTCATCTAGTTCTGTGAATGTGTCCTGGACTCGTCCAGATGATTCTTTACATATCAGTGGTTACGAAGTTTTCTATCTTGACACATCTAAGAGAGTAGATGTTTTTGTAACATGGCTTCTTGTAGAAAACTTAAATCCTTGTACGGTTTATAAGTTTAATGTTTGTGCAATTTATCCAGAAGGCAAAACCAATTGTTCTATTAAAACAGAAAAAATAGCAGGAGACGGTAAGAGCATGTTTTTCTTTAGACTAATGTTTGATTTTTTATTCCACACGCTGTAATTCATTATTTGTAAGCTTTTGTCAACTTTATTTTAGTTCACATAAGCAAAGTTAAATTTTGTTGTTTAAAAGTTTTTTTTATTGTTAAAAACATAAAGTTTCAACGGATTTATTGTTAATTTTACTTATGCTGTTTAATGCTTTCAATACAGTCTGCAATGGTTGCTTGTTTTTCAGTTAAGCAGTAGTTACAAATTATTTTCGCGCATCAAATGGAAAGTTCAAATTCTGCCTATCTAAGTGTAATTCAAATTAAAATGTAAAGCGTTATATGTGTTTTTAGTAAAATAAAAAAATTAAATTTGTTTAAACACTAGCGCAAACAGCAGTTAGGTGTACTTTTTCATTTTCTTTTTCTTTTTATGTAGTCAAATGCTCAAGGATCTCGAAATGTATAAATTTTTATAATTGGCTATTTATGTTTGTCTAGTTTTTGTTTAAAAAGTTGAGAAGGATACGTAGTGTTGTATAAATTTTTGTTAAGCGTTTTATCAAGTTTTGTTGTGTACCAGTTTCCAGATGTTTGAGTCTCTCAACCAATTTCTGTAATTGAAACTAAAGTGCATTCCTTAACAAAACAAGCATTCTTTCATTAAAAGAGCATTTAAAAAAATAGACGACAACTTATTGTATTTTACTCTAACCAAACTGCAACGAATACCAGCATACCAAAGATAATTTTATTCAAAAATAAGCTTTTCTTTGATCATCGAAAAATGTGTCTTCTTTTAGCATTCATTTGCAAGATTTTTTCAAATATGTTTCAAACAGTTTGTCACAACAAACAAAAGTAGACAAAATGTTATCTTTGCAAACTTATCAACGTGCAAGTGTAGTTGAAATTAAAGTGATCAAAACATTCTATTAAAGTTTTTGGTTTCCTAAAAGCATTTCTTAATATGTTTTATGAAAATCGAACATGTCTGTTGTATATTGAAACCTTTTTGTACCACTAAACATTTGATTTTGTGTTATATTTTGATTTGATATTATATATATTAGGGGCAGATGAGGCTCTTTAGTTTTGGTGTAGACAACTTACATAGGATAAGGCAAAAATCTCTCAAAAATTATATAATTTTGCATTTAGGCATAAGTTTCTCAACTTATATAATTTTGCAATTCACAGTTTATATATATTTTCATGTAAGTGCAGAGGGAGCTTTTACACTTTAGATGGTAATCTCCACAGTGGTAGGATCATAATAAAAATTGTCAGCCTTGATCCGCAAAACAGGGTAACGCCAGGTGAAAAAGTACAAACCTTCCGTAAGATCATGTTTTAATAAGAGTATGGCATTTTGGAAGCTCATTTGAACCACACAGGTTTGAAAGCATTGGCGTTGCACTTTTTGCCGATCAGTTAAACTTTTTTTTGCTTTATTTAAAACCTAATGAAAAGATCAATTTTTTGTTTTGTTTGATTTATATAGTTTTTACTATTTCCATTCTCTTAAGATAGTTTTTTATAAAACTTACAAAAACATATTACCTCAAGTACTGTTACCAATTTCACCTTCAAGCGAAAGTTTTAGAAACTTGTTATTTTTTTAAAAAAGATGGGAAAATGTATTTTTGAAGATTCTACAGTAACAAATAAAGCCAGGCAAAATGCATTTGTTCACTTATACATTTAATTTGCAGTCAATTTAAGACGGCAAACAACTTTTGTTTCAGTTGGAATTTTAATCGTTTTATGATTTTAAAATTTCTTAAAAAAAAAACTTTGCTGACTTTTCCGTTTACCTTTAAATACGAGTTCATTAAAGCTATTGTAGATTCGATTTTTCTAACTTGTTTTTGTTAATTTTTCCCTTATTTGAATTGTTTTTTAGTTGAAAGTGATCAAATAAAGTCAATATTTTATTAGAAATTGAACTTAGATTTTTGTCTAAGTTAACATCAGAAAGTACACAAAATATCAGGAGCTATACAAAATGTCAGTAACTAGAAGTTAGTTTAGGAATCACTATATATTCACTCAACTTTACTATTCAAATCAATAAGTAAAGATTAAAGTTGTCATTGAAAGCGTTTTTGACGCACTATGTCACGAATTAGTTACTAATAGATTTGTTTCATTTTCTCAAATCATAGATATATAAAAATGAGTGTCAGATTTTCGTCTTTTCGGTGACATCGTTAGTAGTGAGTCTTTTATTACAGTGAGGTAATGATAATATGCATCATATTTTCATTATTTTTTTTCTTTTTATTTTCTTTCAAATGAAAGAATATGTTTATAATACTTGGAAATTCTTTCAAATTTCAAAAAGCTCTTTTTACCTTTTCAGTTGTCGTTTTTTATTATTTTAGAGATTTATGTTGCTACATCTGTTCGATTTTGATTTTTATTCCATTGTTTTAAGTTGTAAATGTATGTGGTGTCTGTCTATAGCTCAACGTTTCCTTGAAATAAAATTGACTTATTAATGGTAAAGCTTAATAATTTTAAAAAGGTTGTAAGCAGTTTTTTTGTTTACATGTGTGTGAATTTCAAGTGTGCTGAAATGCAGAAAATCTATTTCAAATATATATATATATATATATATATATATATATATATATATATATATATATACATATTTTTTTTTTGGTATTTTTTTTTTATTTATAAATAATATTTTTGCTATTCAGCTCCTGGACCAGCAGAAAATGTTTTAGTTGAAAAAAGAAATGATAGTAGTGTTACGATCAATTGGAATGAGCCCTCTGTTAAAAATGGAACTGTGAAATACAGAATATTTTACGAGCCCCAAGACGATTCAAACAAAATCCAATCTTTTTTTGTTGAAACCAACGAAACTTTTGTGATTGTCGTTGGACTTAAGGATTATACTAACTATACATTTTTTATTCAAGCTTTTACTGCTTGTGGGAACAGCACAAGTGTGGCCAACACATCAGCTATGACTTATTTTGGTGATGCTCGAGGTGGTCCAGTTAATTTGACAGTTGCAGTTGTTTCATCTAGTTCTGTGAATGTGTCCTGGACTCGTCCAGATGATTCTTTACATATCAGTGGTTACGAAGTTTTCTATCTTGACACATCTAAGAGAGTAGATGTTTTTGTAACATGGCTTCTTGTAGAAAACTTAAATCCTTGTACGGTTTATAAGTTTAATGTTTGTGCAATTTATCCAGAAGGCAAAACCAATTGTTCTATTAAAACAGAAAAAATAGCAGGAGACGGTAAGAGCATGTTTTTCTTTAGACTAATGTTTGATTTTTTATTCCACACGCTGTAATTCATTATTTGTAAGCTTTTGTCAACTTTATTTTAGTTCACATAAGCAAAGTTAAATTTTGTTGTTTAAAAGTTTTTTTTATTGTTAAAAACATAAAGTTTCAACGGATTTATTGTTAATTTTACTTATGCTGTTTAATGCTTTCAATACAGTCTGCAATGGTTGCTTGTTTTTCAGTTAAGCAGTAGTTACAAATTATTTTCGCGCATCAAATGGAAAGTTCAAATTCTGCCTATCTAAGTGTAATTCAAATTAAAATGTAAAGCGTTATATGTGTTTTTAGTAAAATAAAAAAATTAAATTTGTTTAAACACTAGCGCAAACAGCAGTTAGGTGTACTTTTTCATTTTCTTTTTCTTTTTATGTAGTCAAATGCTCAAGGATCTCGAAATGTATAAATTTTTATAATTGGCTATTTATGTTTGTCTAGTTTTTGTTTAAAAAGTTGAGAAGGATACGTAGTGTTGTATAAATTTTTGTTAAGCGTTTTATCAAGTTTTGTTGTGTACCAGTTTCCAGATTTTTGAGTCTCTCAACCAATTTCTGTAATTGAAACTAAAGTGCATTCCTTAACAAAACAAGCATTCTTTCATTAAAAGAGCATTTAAAAAAATAGACGACAACTTATTGTATTTTACTCTAACCAAACTGCAACGAATACCAGCATACCAAAGATAATTTTATTCAAAAATAAGCTTTTCTTTGATCATCGAAAAATGTGTCTTCTTTTAGCATTCATTTGCAAGATTTTTTCAAATATGTTTCAAACAGTTTGTCACAACAAACAAAAGTAGACAAAATGTTATCTTTGCAAACTTATCAACGTGCAAGTGTAGTTGAAATTAAAGTGATCAAAACATTCTATTAAAGTTTTTGGTTTCCTAAAAGCATTTCTTAATATGTTTTATGAAAATCGAACATGTCTGTTGTATATTGAAACCTTTTTGTACCACTAAACATTTGATTTTGTGTTATATTTTGATTTGATATTATATATATTAGGGGCAGATGAGGCTCTTTAGTTTTGGTGTAGACAACTTACATAGGATAAGGCAAAAATCTCTCAAAAATTATATAATTTTGCATTTAGGCATAAGTTTCTCAACTTATATAATTTTGCAATTCACAGTTTATATATATTTTCATGTAAGTGCAGAGGGAGCTTTTACACTTTAGATGGTAATCTCCACAGTGGTAGGATCATAATAAAAATTGTCAGCCTTGATCCGCAAAATAGGGTAACGCCAGGTGAAAAAGTACAAACCTTCCGTAAGATCATGTTTTAATAAGAGTATGGCATTTTGGAAGCTCATTTGAACCACACAGGTTTGAAAGCATTGGCGTTGCACTTTTTGCCGATCAGTTAAACTTTTTTTTGCTTTATTTAAAACCTAATGAAAAGATCAATTTTTTGTTTTGTTTGATTTATATAGTTTTTACTATTTCCATTCTCTTAAGATAGTTTTTTATAAAACTTACAAAAACATATTACCTCAAGTACTGTTACCAATTTCACCTTCAAGCGAAAGTTTTAGAAACTTGTTATTTTTTTAAAAAAGATGGGAAAATGTATTTTTGAAGATTCTACAGTAACAAATAAAGCCAGGCAAAATGCATTTGTTCACTTATACATTTAATTTGCAGTCAATTTAAGACGGCAAACAACTTTTGTTTCAGTTGGAATTTTAATCGTTTTATGATTTTAAAATTTCTTAAAAAAAAAACTTTGCTGACTTTTCCGTTTACCTTTAAATACGAGTTCATTAAAGCTATTGTAGATTCGATTTTTCTAACTTGTTTTTGTTAATTTTTCCCTTATTTGAATTGTTTTTTAGTTGAAAGTGATCAAATAAAGTCAATATTTTATTAGAAATTGAACTTAGATTTTTGTCTAAGTTAACATCAGAAAGTACACAAAATATCAGGAGCTATACAAAATGTCAGTAACTAGAAGTTAGTTTAGGAATCACTATATATTCACTCAACTTTACTATTCAAATCAATAAGTAAAGATTAAAGTTGTCATTGAAAGCGTTTTTGACGCACTATGTCACGAATTAGTTACTAATAGATTTGTTTCATTTTCTCAAATCATAGATATATAAAAATGAGTGTCAGATTTTCGTCTTTTCGGTGACATCGTTAGTAGTGAGTCTTTTATTACAGTGAGGTAATGATAATATGCATCATATTTTCATTATTTTTTTTCTTTTTATTTTCTTTCAAATGAAAGAATATGTTTATAATACTTGGAAATTCTTTCAAATTTCAAAAAGCTCTTTTTACCTTTTCAGTTGTCGTTTTTTATTATTTTAGAGATTTATGTTGCTACATCTGTTCGATTTTGATTTTTATTCCATTGTTTTAAGTTGTAAATGTATGTGGTGTCTGTCTATAGCTCAACGTTTCCTTGAAATAAAATTGACTTATTAATGGTAAAGCTTAATAATTTTAAAAAGGTTGTAAGCAGTTTTTTTGTTTACATGTGTGTGAATTTCAAGTGTGCTGAAATGCAGAAAATCTATTTCAAATATATATATATATATATATATATATATATATATATATATATATATATATATATATATATATACATATTTTTTTTTTGGTATTTTTTTTTTATTTATAAATAATATTTTTGCTATTCAGCTCCTGGACCAGCAGAAAATGTTTTAGTTGAAAAAAGAAATGATAGTAGTGTTACGATCAATTGGAATGAGCCCTCTGTTAAAAATGGAACTGTGAAATACAGAATATTTTACGAGCCCCAAGACGATTCAAACAAAATCCAATCTTTTTTTGTTGAAACCAACGAAACTTTTGTGATTGTCGTTGGACTTAAGGATTATACTAACTATACATTTTTTATTCAAGCTTTTACTGCTTGTGGGAACAGCACAAGTGTGGCCAACACATCAGCTATGACTTATTTTGGTGATGCTCGAGGTGGTCCAGTTAATTTGACAGTTGCAGTTGTTTCATCTAGTTCTGTGAATGTGTCCTGGACTCGTCCAGATGATTCTTTACATATCAGTGGTTACGAAGTTTTCTATCTTGACACATCTAAGAGAGTAGATGTTTTTGTAACATGGCTTCTTGTAGAAAACTTAAATCCTTGTACGGTTTATAAGTTTAATGTTTGTGCAATTTATCCAGAAGGCAAAACCAATTGTTCTATTAAAACAGAAAAAATAGCAGGAGACGGTAAGAGCATGTTTTTCTTTAGACTAATGTTTGATTTTTTATTCCACACGCTGTAATTCATTATTTGTAAGCTTTTGTCAACTTTATTTTAGTTCACATAAGCAAAGTTAAATTTTGTTGTTTAAAAGTTTTTTTTATTGTTAAAAACATAAAGTTTCAACGGATTTATTGTTAATTTTACTTATGCTGTTTAATGCTTTCAATACAGTCTGCAATGGTTGCTTGTTTTTCAGTTAAGCAGTAGTTACAAATTATTTTCGCGCATCAAATGGAAAGTTCAAATTCTGCCTATCTAAGTGTAATTCAAATTAAAATGTAAAGCGTTATATGTGTTTTTAGTAAAATAAAAAAATTAAATTTGTTTAAACACTAGCGCAAACAGCAGTTAGGTGTACTTTTTCATTTTCTTTTTCTTTTTATGTAGTCAAATGCTCAAGGATCTCGAAATGTATAAATTTTTATAATTGGCTATTTATGTTTGTCTAGTTTTTGTTTAAAAAGTTGAGAAGGATACGTAGTGTTGTATAAATTTTTGTTAAGCGTTTTATCAAGTTTTGTTGTGTACCAGTTTCCAGATGTTTGAGTCTCTCAACCAATTTCTGTAATTGAAACTAAAGTGCATTCCTTAACAAAACAAGCATTCTTTCATTAAAAGAGCATTTAAAAAAATAGACGACAACTTATTGTATTTTACTCTAACCAAACTGCAACGAATACCAGCATACCAAAGATAATTTTATTCAAAAATAAGCTTTTCTTTGATCATCGAAAAATGTGTCTTCTTTTAGCATTCATTTGCAAGATTTTTTCAAATATGTTTCAAACAGTTTGTCACAACAAACAAAAGTAGACAAAATGTTATCTTTGCAAACTTATCAACGTGCAAGTGTAGTTGAAATTAAAGTGATCAAAACATTCTATTAAAGTTTTTGGTTTCCTAAAAGCATTTCTTAATATGTTTTATGAAAATCGAACATGTCTGTTGTATATTGAAACCTTTTTGTACCACTAAACATTTGATTTTGTGTTATATTTTGATTTGATATTATATATATTAGGGGCAGATGAGGCTCTTTAGTTTTGGTGTAGACAACTTACATAGGATAAGGCAAAAATCTCTCAAAAATTATATAATTTTGCATTTAGGCATAAGTTTCTCAACTTATATAATTTTGCAATTCACAGTTTATATATATTTTCATGTAAGTGCAGAGGGAGCTTTTACACTTTAGATGGTAATCTCCACAGTGGTAGGATCATAATAAAAATTGTCAGCCTTGATCCGCAAAACAGGGTAACGCCAGGTGAAAAAGTACAAACCTTCCGTAAGATCATGTTTTAATAAGAGTATGGCATTTTGGAAGCTCATTTGAACCACACAGGTTTGAAAGCATTGGCGTTGCACTTTTTGCCGATCAGTTAAACTTTTTTTTGCTTTATTTAAAACCTAATGAAAAGATCAATTTTTTGTTTTGTTTGATTTATATAGTTTTTACTATTTCCATTCTCTTAAGATAGTTTTTTATAAAACTTACAAAAACATATTACCTCAAGTACTGTTACCAATTTCACCTTCAAGCGAAAGTTTTAGAAACTTGTTATTTTTTTAAAAAAGATGGGAAAATGTATTTTTGAAGATTCTACAGTAACAAATAAAGCCAGGCAAAATGCATTTGTTCACTTATACATTTAATTTGCAGTCAATTTAAGACGGCAAACAACTTTTGTTTCAGTTGGAATTTTAATCGTTTTATGATTTTAAAATTTCTTAAAAAAAAAACTTTGCTGACTTTTCCGTTTACCTTTAAATACGAGTTCATTAAAGCTATTGTAGATTCGATTTTTCTAACTTGTTTTTGTTAATTTTTCCCTTATTTGAATTGTTTTTTAGTTGAAAGTGATCAAATAAAGTCAATATTTTATTAGAAATTGAACTTAGATTTTTGTCTAAGTTAACATCAGAAAGTACACAAAATATCAGGAGCTATACAAAATGTCAGTAACTAGAAGTTAGTTTAGGAATCACTATATATTCACTCAACTTTACTATTCAAATCAATAAGTAAAGATTAAAGTTGTCATTGAAAGCGTTTTTGACGCACTATGTCACGAATTAGTTACTAATAGATTTGTTTCATTTTCTCAAATCATAGATATATAAAAATGAGTGTCAGATTTTCGTCTTTTCGGTGACATCGTTAGTAGTGAGTCTTTTATTACAGTGAGGTAATGATAATATGCATCATATTTTCATTATTTTTTTTCTTTTTATTTTCTTTCAAATGAAAGAATATGTTTATAATACTTGGAAATTCTTTCAAATTTCAAAAAGCTCTTTTTACCTTTTCAGTTGTCGTTTTTTATTATTTTAGAGATTTATGTTGCTACATCTGTTCGATTTTGATTTTTATTCCATTGTTTTAAGTTGTAAATGTATGTGGTGTCTGTCTATAGCTCAACGTTTCCTTGAAATAAAATTGACTTATTAATGGTAAAGCTTAATAATTTTAAAAAGGTTGTAAGCAGTTTTTTTGTTTACATGTGTGTGAATTTCAAGTGTGCTGAAATGCAGAAAATCTATTTCAAATATATATATATATATATATATATATATATATATATATATATATATATATATATATACATATTTTTTTTTTGGTATTTTTTTTTTATTTATAAATAATATTTTTGCTATTCAGCTCCTGGACCAGCAGAAAATGTTTTAGTTGAAAAAAGAAATGATAGTAGTGTTACGATCAATTGGAATGAGCCCTCTGTTAAAAATGGAACTGTGAAATACAGAATATTTTACGAGCCCCAAGACGATTCAAACAAAATCCAATCTTTTTTTGTTGAAACCAACGAAACTTTTGTGATTGTCGTTGGACTTAAGGATTATACTAACTATACATTTTTTATTCAAGCTTTTACTGCTTGTGGGAACAGCACAAGTGTGGCCAACACATCAGCTATGACTTATTTTGGTGATGCTCGAGGTGGTCCAGTTAATTTGACAGTTGCAGTTGTTTCATCTAGTTCTGTGAATGTGTCCTGGACTCGTCCAGATGATTCTTTACATATCAGTGGTTACGAAGTTTTCTATCTTGACACATCTAAGAGAGTAGATGTTTTTGTAACATGGCTTCTTGTAGAAAACTTAAATCCTTGTACGGTTTATAAGTTTAATGTTTGTGCAATTTATCCAGAAGGCAAAACCAATTGTTCTATTAAAACAGAAAAAATAGCAGGAGACGGTAAGAGCATGTTTTTCTTTAGACTAATGTTTGATTTTTTATTCCACACGCTGTAATTCATTATTTGTAAGCTTTTGTCAACTTTATTTTAGTTCACATAAGCAAAGTTAAATTTTGTTGTTTAAAAGTTTTTTTTATTGTTAAAAACATAAAGTTTCAACGGATTTATTGTTAATTTTACTTATGCTGTTTAATGCTTTCAATACAGTCTGCAATGGTTGCTTGTTTTTCAGTTAAGCAGTAGTTACAAATTATTTTCGCGCATCAAATGGAAAGTTCAAATTCTGCCTATCTAAGTGTAATTCAAATTAAAATGTAAAGCGTTATATGTGTTTTTAGTAAAATAAAAAAATTAAATTTGTTTAAACACTAGCGCAAACAGCAGTTAGGTGTACTTTTTCATTTTCTTTTTCTTTTTATGTAGTCAAATGCTCAAGGATCTCGAAATGTATAAATTTTTATAATTGGCTATTTATGTTTGTCTAGTTTTTGTTTAAAAAGTTGAGAAGGATACGTAGTGTTGTATAAATTTTTGTTAAGCGTTTTATCAAGTTTTGTTGTGTACCAGTTTCCAGATGTTTGAGTCTCTCAACCAATTTCTGTAATTGAAACTAAAGTGCATTCCTTAACAAAACAAGCATTCTTTCATTAAAAGAGCATTTAAAAAAATAGACGACAACTTATTGTATTTTACTCTAACCAAACTGCAACGAATACCAGCATACCAAAGATAATTTTATTCAAAAATAAGCTTTTCTTTGATCATCGAAAAATGTGTCTTCTTTTAGCATTCATTTGCAAGATTTTTTCAAATATGTTTCAAACAGTTTGTCACAACAAACAAAAGTAGACAAAATGTTATCTTTGCAAACTTATCAACGTGCAAGTGTAGTTGAAATTAAAGTGATCAAAACATTCTATTAAAGTTTTTGGTTTCCTAAAAGCATTTCTTAATATGTTTTATGAAAATCGAACATGTCTGTTGTATATTGAAACCTTTTTGTACCACTAAACATTTGATTTTGTGTTATATTTTGATTTGATATTATATATATTAGGGGCAGATGAGGCTCTTTAGTTTTGGTGTAGACAACTTACATAGGATAAGGCAAAAATCTCTCAAAAATTATATAATTTTGCATTTAGGCATAAGTTTCTCAACTTATATAATTTTGCAATTCACAGTTTATATATATTTTCATGTAAGTGCAGAGGGAGCTTTTACACTTTAGATGGTAATCTCCACAGTGGTAGGATCATAATAAAAATTGTCAGCCTTGATCCGCAAAATAGGGTAACGCCAGGTGAAAAAGTACAAACCTTCCGTAAGATCATGTTTTAATAAGAGTATGGCATTTTGGAAGCTCATTTGAACCACACAGGTTTGAAAGCATTGGCGTTGCACTTTTTGCCGATCAGTTAAACTTTTTTTTGCTTTATTTAAAACCTAATGAAAAGATCAATTTTTTGTTTTGTTTGATTTATATAGTTTTTACTATTTCCATTCTCTTAAGATAGTTTTTTATAAAACTTACAAAAACATATTACCTCAAGTACTGTTACCAATTTCACCTTCAAGCGAAAGTTTTAGAAACTTGTTATTTTTTTAAAAAAGATGGGAAAATGTATTTTTGAAGATTCTACAGTAACAAATAAAGCCAGGCAAAATGCATTTGTTCACTTATACATTTAATTTGCAGTCAATTTAAGACGGCAAACAACTTTTGTTTCAGTTGGAATTTTAATCGTTTTATGATTTTAAAATTTCTTAAAAAAAAAACTTTGCTGACTTTTCCGTTTACCTTTAAATACGAGTTCATTAAAGCTATTGTAGATTCGATTTTTCTAACTTGTTTTTGTTAATTTTTCCCTTATTTGAATTGTTTTTTAGTTGAAAGTGATCAAATAAAGTCAATATTTTATTAGAAATTGAACTTAGATTTTTGTCTAAGTTAACATCAGAAAGTACACAAAATATCAGGAGCTATACAAAATGTCAGTAACTAGAAGTTAGTTTAGGAATCACTATATATTCACTCAACTTTACTATTCAAATCAATAAGTAAAGATTAAAGTTGTCATTGAAAGCGTTTTTGACGCACTATGTCACGAATTAGTTACTAATAGATTTGTTTCATTTTCTCAAATCATAGATATATAAAAATGAGTGTCAGATTTTCGTCTTTTCGGTGACATCGTTAGTAGTGAGTCTTTTATTACAGTGAGGTAATGATAATATGCATCATATTTTCATTATTTTTTTTCTTTTTATTTTCTTTCAAATGAAAGAATATGTTTATAATACTTGGAAATTCTTTCAAATTTCAAAAAGCTCTTTTTACCTTTTCAGTTGTCGTTTTTTATTATTTTAGAGATTTATGTTGCTACATCTGTTCGATTTTGATTTTTATTCCATTGTTTTAAGTTGTAAATGTATGTGGTGTCTGTCTATAGCTCAACGTTTCCTTGAAATAAAATTGACTTATTAATGGTAAAGCTTAATAATTTTAAAAAGGTTGTAAGCAGTTTTTTTGTTTACATGTGTGTGAATTTCAAGTGTGCTGAAATGCAGAAAATCTATTTCAAATATATATATATATATATATATATATATATATATATATATATATATATATATATATATATACATATTTTTTTTTTGGTATTTTTTTTTTATTTATAAATAATATTTTTGCTATTCAGCTCCTGGACCAGCAGAAAATGTTTTAGTTGAAAAAAGAAATGATAGTAGTGTTACGATCAATTGGAATGAGCCCTCTGTTAAAAATGGAACTGTGAAATACAGAATATTTTACGAGCCCCAAGACGATTCAAACAAAATCCAATCTTTTTTTGTTGAAACCAACGAAACTTTTGTGATTGTCGTTGGACTTAAGGATTATACTAACTATACATTTTTTATTCAAGCTTTTACTGCTTGTGGGAACAGCACAAGTGTGGCCAACACATCAGCTATGACTTATTTTGGTGATGCTCGAGGTGGTCCAGTTAATTTGACAGTTGCAGTTGTTTCATCTAGTTCTGTGAATGTGTCCTGGACTCGTCCAGATGATTCTTTACATATCAGTGGTTACGAAGTTTTCTATCTTGACACATCTAAGAGAGTAGATGTTTTTGTAACATGGCTTCTTGTAGAAAACTTAAATCCTTGTACGGTTTATAAGTTTAATGTTTGTGCAATTTATCCAGAAGGCAAAACCAATTGTTCTATTAAAACAGAAAAAATAGCAGGAGACGGTAAGAGCATGTTTTTCTTTAGACTAATGTTTGATTTTTTATTCCACACGCTGTAATTCATTATTTGTAAGCTTTTGTCAACTTTATTTTAGTTCACATAAGCAAAGTTAAATTTTGTTGTTTAAAAGTTTTTTTTATTGTTAAAAACATAAAGTTTCAACGGATTTATTGTTAATTTTACTTATGCTGTTTAATGCTTTCAATACAGTCTGCAATGGTTGCTTGTTTTTCAGTTAAGCAGTAGTTACAAATTATTTTCGCGCATCAAATGGAAAGTTCAAATTCTGCCTATCTAAGTGTAATTCAAATTAAAATGTAAAGCGTTATATGTGTTTTTAGTAAAATAAAAAAATTAAATTTGTTTAAACACTAGCGCAAACAGCAGTTAGGTGTACTTTTTCATTTTCTTTTTCTTTTTATGTAGTCAAATGCTCAAGGATCTCGAAATGTATAAATTTTTATAATTGGCTATTTATGTTTGTCTAGTTTTTGTTTAAAAAGTTGAGAAGGATACGTAGTGTTGTATAAATTTTTGTTAAGCGTTTTATCAAGTTTTGTTGTGTACCAGTTTCCAGATGTTTGAGTCTCTCAACCAATTTCTGTAATTGAAACTAAAGTGCATTCCTTAACAAAACAAGCATTCTTTCATTAAAAGAGCATTTAAAAAAATAGACGACAACTTATTGTATTTTACTCTAACCAAACTGCAACGAATACCAGCATACCAAAGATAATTTTATTCAAAAATAAGCTTTTCTTTGATCATCGAAAAATGTGTCTTCTTTTAGCATTCATTTGCAAGATTTTTTCAAATATGTTTCAAACAGTTTGTCACAACAAACAAAAGTAGACAAAATGTTATCTTTGCAAACTTATCAACGTGCAAGTGTAGTTGAAATTAAAGTGATCAAAACATTCTATTAAAGTTTTTGGTTTCCTAAAAGCATTTCTTAATATGTTTTATGAAAATCGAACATGTCTGTTGTATATTGAAACCTTTTTGTACCACTAAACATTTGATTTTGTGTTATATTTTGATTTGATATTATATATATTAGGGGCAGATGAGGCTCTTTAGTTTTGGTGTAGACAACTTACATAGGATAAGGCAAAAATCTCTCAAAAATTATATAATTTTGCATTTAGGCATAAGTTTCTCAACTTATATAATTTTGCAATTCACAGTTTATATATATTTTCATGTAAGTGCAGAGGGAGCTTTTACACTTTAGATGGTAATCTCCACAGTGGTAGGATCATAATAAAAATTGTCAGCCTTGATCCGCAAAATAGGGTAACGCCAGGTGAAAAAGTACAAACCTTCCGTAAGATCATGTTTTAATAAGAGTATGGCATTTTGGAAGCTCATTTGAACCACACAGGTTTGAAAGCATTGGCGTTGCACTTTTTGCCGATCAGTTAAACTTTTTTTTGCTTTATTTAAAACCTAATGAAAAGATCAATTTTTTGTTTTGTTTGATTTATATAGTTTTTACTATTTCCATTCTCTTAAGATAGTTTTTTATAAAACTTACAAAAACATATTACCTCAAGTACTGTTACCAATTTCACCTTCAAGCGAAAGTTTTAGAAACTTGTTATTTTTTTAAAAAAGATGGGAAAATGTATTTTTGAAGATTCTACAGTAACAAATAAAGCCAGGCAAAATGCATTTGTTCACTTATACATTTAATTTGCAGTCAATTTAAGACGGCAAACAACTTTTGTTTCAGTTGGAATTTTAATCGTTTTATGATTTTAAAATTTCTTAAAAAAAAAACTTTGCTGACTTTTCCGTTTACCTTTAAATACGAGTTCATTAAAGCTATTGTAGATTCGATTTTTCTAACTTGTTTTTGTTAATTTTTCCCTTATTTGAATTGTTTTTTAGTTGAAAGTGATCAAATAAAGTCAATATTTTATTAGAAATTGAACTTAGATTTTTGTCTAAGTTAACATCAGAAAGTACACAAAATATCAGGAGCTATACAAAATGTCAGTAACTAGAAGTTAGTTTAGGAATCACTATATATTCACTCAACTTTACTATTCAAATCAATAAGTAAAGATTAAAGTTGTCATTGAAAGCGTTTTTGACGCACTATGTCACGAATTAGTTACTAATAGATTTGTTTCATTTTCTCAAATCATAGATATATAAAAATGAGTGTCAGATTTTCGTCTTTTCGGTGACATCGTTAGTAGTGAGTCTTTTATTACAGTGAGGTAATGATAATATGCATCATATTTTCATTATTTTTTTTCTTTTTATTTTCTTTCAAATGAAAGAATATGTTTATAATACTTGGAAATTCTTTCAAATTTCAAAAAGCTCTTTTTACCTTTTCAGTTGTCGTTTTTTATTATTTTAGAGATTTATGTTGCTACATCTGTTCGATTTTGATTTTTATTCCATTGTTTTAAGTTGTAAATGTATGTGGTGTCTGTCTATAGCTCAACGTTTCCTTGAAATAAAATTGACTTATTAATGGTAAAGCTTAATAATTTTAAAAAGGTTGTAAGCAGTTTTTTTGTTTACATGTGTGTGAATTTCAAGTGTGCTGAAATGCAGAAAATCTATTTCAAATATATATATATATATATATATATATATATATATATATATATATATATATATATATATATATATATATATATATATACATATTTTTTTTTTGGTATTTTTTTTTTATTTATAAATAATATTTTTGCTATTCAGCTCCTGGACCAGCAGAAAATGTTTTAGTTGAAAAAAGAAATGATAGTAGTGTTACGATCAATTGGAATGAGCCCTCTGTTAAAAATGGAACTGTGAAATACAGAATATTTTACGAGCCCCAAGACGATTCAAACAAAATCCAATCTTTTTTTGTTGAAACCAACGAAACTTTTGTGATTGTCGTTGGACTTAAGGATTATACTAACTATACATTTTTTATTCAAGCTTTTACTGCTTGTGGGAACAGCACAAGTGTGGCCAACACATCAGCTATGACTTATTTTGGTGATGCTCGAGGTGGTCCAGTTAATTTGACAGTTGCAGTTGTTTCATCTAGTTCTGTGAATGTGTCCTGGACTCGTCCAGATGATTCTTTACATATCAGTGGTTACGAAGTTTTCTATCTTGACACATCTAAGAGAGTAGATGTTTTTGTAACATGGCTTCTTGTAGAAAACTTAAATCCTTGTACGGTTTATAAGTTTAATGTTTGTGCAATTTATCCAGAAGGCAAAACTAGTTGTTTTCATATAGAAGGGAAAACATTAGAAGACAGTAATCATTTAATTTTTTATTTTTTTTATTTTTATTAATTAGTGATTTCGTTTTTTGTTAAATAAGTCTTTTTTATAAATTGTTTGTTTTCACGGTTTTTAAAGTATGTTTTTATATCTAATTAGTTGGTAATTTATTACTTTACAGTTTTGTGATTTTATTGTATAATATTGAAGCTTAACATATATAATTTTTTCTTTTCATAATATTTATCGTTACATTGTGAAATTCTAATTTTTTTTAGGTCTTTTTCATTCCATTTTATTTATGTTTAGTTTGAAACCATTTCCTATTTATTTATATATATATAATATTTAAAAATTTTTTTCAAAAATTGTTTTAAAATGTGTCATTAATTAACTTGAAATATGTTTTTTAACAAAAATTAAATATTTTCTTTTTTAAAAAACTTTTTATTCTGTCAACTTATACTATTAATTTGTTAAAACATAATCACAGCGTTTTTGTTCTATATTTGCTTTTTAATATATATATATATATATATTTTTTTAATCAGATTTATTGTTTAAGTGTTAATTTTTTAACAGTCAAGTAAAATCAACAAAAAATTCAGTTTTTTTTTTCCTATTTTGCTTTTACAATATTTTTGCCTTCAAGTTTTAGCTTTTTGCCATACTGATTGACGTTCATAATAAGATCAATCTTAAAACTTAATAATATTGAAAAGATTTTTTTGATTTTTGTTTTTTACAATTCAAGTTCACTTAATTAGTAAATTTTAAATCAAATCTTAAATAATTTTGCCTACAGGCTTGGTTATGATTCATCTGGAAATGCATTTATTATATAATATACAGTTATAAGTGCATTAAGCCTTTTTATATATATGCACTATTATAACAAGATGAAAATATTTAAACACTTGAAATTATAAATAACAATTAGTAAATTAATAATAAAAAATAAGTTATGCGAATAACAAAAAAATAAAACTACAATAAACAAAATAGTTGAATGTAAAACGAACATTAAAAAGTATCTAGATAAAAAGAATTTTCTTAAAAATGTTTGGAAATTTTAAAATTGAAAAAAAATTAATAACTAAAACAAACCATTTTTAAAAAAATTTGAATTTAATTTGATTTAAATTGATTTCAATTTAATTGAAATAAATTTTATTTAAATTAACTGAAATATAATTAATTTTATTTAAATTAGTTTATTACTGTTTGATAATAATTTAGTTAAAGTATAATAAAATAAATTAAAACTTTTTTAAAAACTGAAAAACTTTGAGTTCTAATTTTGTATCAGATTCAGCTTTCCTGTCAGTGGTATTAAATTCTAGTTCTGAGGTCAATTTTAAAGATTTGTCTTGTAGCCTTGTCTTTTTCCTTATACTTTTAGAAACTTAAAATTTTTTTTAACATAGTATATATGTATGTTATCGAAATAATGGATATTAAATTAGTAAATTTTAACAAATAGGACAAATTAACATGTTTACATACTGGTTCTTCAAATTTGTAGAACCAAATAAGGAAAAAAATCAACAATCCAAAACAGCTTTTTAATAATTGAAACTAACTCCCCTTGATTAGCATTGTCTCTGTTCCTATGTATTTATTTCTGTTTAAACCTGAATACTTCTTGTCCAGAGTACTTCTTGTTGTTAGGTTTTTGCTAATATTTTTATCTGACATTACTTGACATCCTGCTTAAACCCATGATCTTAACAAGCCTAAATTGCATATATATATATATATATATATATATATATATATATATATATATATATATATATATATATATATATATATATATATATATATATATATATATATATATATATATATATATATGTATATATATATATTTATATATATATATATATATATATATATATATATATATATATATATATATATATATATATATATATATATATATATATATTATAGGTTATAAATATATAAGCAAAACTAGTAAACTTATTTATATATATTTATATATAAATATATATATATATATATATATAATATATATATATATATATATATATATATATAAATGTATATATATATATATATATAAATGTATAAATGTATAATTCTTGCGCGATAGTCGAAATGTTTCTTCCATAAACTGTAATTTTAAAGAGACCGCTAATAAACCAGACCAGAAAAGGTTTAAAAACTTAATTTTTTTTTCTTAAATGATAGACTGCCTGCCTAAACCAAACCCTCAGTCGAAGTAGCAACACTCCATTGCGAGTCAGGCTATAAGATAGTCAATGTACCAACACTCAGGGCTTGCTTAAAAAAATGTATATATATATATAAACTCCCTAATTATATACATATATATATATATATATATATATATATATATATATATATATATATATATATATATATATATATATATATATATATATATATATGTATATATATATATATATATATATATATATATATATATATATATATATATATGTATATATATATATATATATATATATATATATATATATATATATATATATATATATATATATATATATATAAAAAATTAAGGGTATACTGGAATTCATTTCTGTTTCGGCCGGAATTATATTTCAAGCTGAATTGCTGGAATTTATTTGTTACTTTATTTGTTTATGACATGTGACACAGACTGTGTAAATTAAATCAAAAAATCATTGTCCTACAGAGCAATGAAGAAACAAAGGGTAAACTTAGGTAAAAAATACAAAATTCTTAAAAAATACAATGTAATTTTAGGTAAAGCTACAGTTTAGCGTTTTAAAATAATTTTATTTTTTCACTTACTGCGCTCTTGTGGAAAATTAGTAGAGATTTTTTACACATTAGAAACTTTATTTTAAATAATAAAATAAAAGAGGTTGCTGCCCTATGTCAAATCCTCAGTCAATGTAGCAGCACTTTCTTGTAGAAGTAGGCTATGAGATAGTCAATGTAGCAACACTCCCTTGTAGCAGCAGGCTATAAGATAATGGATGTAGCATCACTCCCTTGTAGCTGCATGCTATAAGATAGTCAATGTATACATATATATATATATATATATATATATATATATATATATATATATATATATATATATATATATATATATATATATATATATATATATATATATATATATATATATATATATATATATATATATATATATATATATTTATATATATATATATATATGTATATTTTTATATTTGTATATATATATTTATATATATATATATATATGTATATATATAAATAATATAAATATATATATATAATATAAATATATGTATATATATATATATATATATATATATATATATATATATATATATATATATACATACAACTCTTGGAATTAGGGAAATTAAGGTCGACAATAATTTGCTGACCTCAATCTTTTTAAGGTCGGCATCAGGGCTGCAAAAATTATTTGATACAAAGGTCTGACCATAAAACATAGAAACAAGGTCGGCAGTTTTTTGCTGACCTCGAACACTTTTAGGTTGGCTGACCCTAGTTCCAGGGGTTGTATATATATATTATAGATTATAAATATATATTACGTAGCCACGATGCTGAGGTGTAGGCTTTCACTTTTAATCTTGAAGGTAAAAAACTACATAAATGTAGTTTTTTCATTTCAACCGTAACTTTTCAACAGTTCCGACATATCCGGTTCCGGCTGGAATTCAAAATTCTCAATCCAGTACATCCCTAATATAAATGCAATCTTTAATATATATTACAATATAATAAAAAATATAAATTATATTATTTATTCAAATGTTTTGTTTTTTTTCATTTAGTTCCTGATGAGCCTGGAAGCTTTTTGTGTTTTAATGGTAGAGAAGGTTCTAAACATTTTATTTTCTTAAATTGGACTAAACCTCTGTTTGAAAATGGCATTCTTTTAGATTATATCATTTACAGAAATAACCATCAGGTTTTCAAGAATTTAAAAGAAAGTTTTAAAGATGCTGAGCTAAGTAATTTTTTAATTTTTTCAGTTTGTTTTTTATTTGAACTTTTATTTAAAAATATTTTGGTTAATAGAAGTTTGTAATCAAGATTTTTAAATGCATGCATATATATATATATATTAGCGTGGTCCTTAAAACAACCTTTTTTTTTAAATGTCTACTCAACCACTCAAAATGTGTTCTATAAAATAAAAAAATATTAGAATTAAAAAATTTTCAAAAAAAAATATTTAAGGGTAGCTCAAGACCCTTAAACATCATACGGATCCCTATAAATATCAAAAAAATAGTTCTTCAAAAGTATATCATGTTGGGTTTCAAAATAAGCAAAATTATTTAAAAGTTTCAAAAATAATTATCATTTTATAAAAAACATTAAAAAAAATTACTTATAATATTTTTTTTGCAAAATGGCATAGTTTTAGTTTTTAGTTTGAAAATGTCATTTTCTAGCCAGTGAAATCTAAAATAATAATTTTTTTATAAAATGATGATTCTTTTTGAAGTTTTTATATAATTATGTTTCTTTTGAGACCCAATAAGATATACTTTTGAAGGCTATTTTTTTGATAATTATCAGGACCCATCTGATGTTTAAGGGTCTTGAGTTACCTCTAAAAATATATTTTTTTAAAATTTTTTAACTCTAGTACTTTTTTATTTTATAGAGCACATTTTGAGTGGTTGAGCTGACATTTAAAAAAAAAGTATATATATATATATATATATATATATATATATATATATATATATATATATATATATATATATATATATATATATATATATATATATATATATATATATATATATATATATATATATATATATATATATATATATATATATATATATATATATAGGCCATCCCAGGAAAGGCGTGCAGTTTTTCGTCTCGTACGACCACGAAAACATTTTTCAAATTAGAGAACGTGATCACGGCCATTTGCGCAAGTTATATTATATGCATTACTAAAAAATTGTTTTAAATTTCATAAGAAATTAAAGTAAGCATAAATAGAAAACAATAATAATAGTTTAAATAATTTGTGTGTTGTTTTTATTTTTGTTTTTTCTTAGTGGTTATTGTTATCGGCAACAAAATTCAGTAAGTCAAAGCAACAAAAAAAAAAAAAACGCTTTTAGGCGTTAAAAAGGATGACTTATTTTATCCCATATTTTATGCGTTTTTTCTTTTAAAGAGAAAAAAGAAAATATGTATCGTCATCTGTTTGTAAAATATATTTGTATAATTATAATGTAACAAGTTTATATCAAGAGTTAAATTATACGATTGCGATTTGCAAACTCTGGTAAAATATTAGGTCTTTAAAATTTTAGTTCATGCAAAGCTGTGTACTTTGTTTATAAGGAGCAAATTATTAAAAGTTTGCTAGCTAGAAAGTTACAAAAAACAAAACAAAAACAATAAACTTACGACTACAAAAGTAATAACACTTTAGTCACTAACTGCATTATAACAGTAATAAAACTATAATAGTGTTATTACATTTATAAAGCACTTATTACTTTTAAAGTTCATTCTTTGTTCAAACAACATTATTAATTGCAAACATTTATTAAAGTAGAAAAAATAAAGCGGATATTCAAATGTTATTAAAAATTTCAGGAACTTTCGCATATCACTTAAACAATGTTATAAAAAGTACTTTATAAAAAGTATAGCATTATGAAAAACGTTACGTAAAAACACGCATTAATTTTAAAATCAACCAATAAAAATTTTTTATTGGTTAATTTTAAAATTAACGCGCGTTTTTACGGTCCATTTGTAACATTTTTCATAATGCTAAACTTTTAATACGATACATTTTTATAAAGTTGTTTGTCACGTTGTCAAGTTACTTTAGTTTTAATATTATTTGAACATCCACTTTATTCTTCTAGATATTTTTCTACTTCAATTAAAATTTGGAATACTAATGTTGCTTGAACAAAGAATGAATTTTAAAAGTTATAAGTGAGTTATAAAAGTAATAACACTATTATAGTGTTATTATTTTTGTAATGCAGTTAGTGACTAGAGTGTTATTACTTTTGTAATCGTAAGTTTATTGTTTTATTTTTTATTTTTTCGCTAACAAATTTAAGTTGATTCTCCCTTTAAAAACAAGGAACACGGTTTTGTATAAACTAAAATTTTGAATACTAGATATTTTTCCAGATTTTGCGTTTTGCATTCACTTAATTCAACCCTTGTTTTTACATAAAAATTATACAAATAAATTTTACAAACACATTGCAATTTGTATTTTTGTTATCCTCTTAAAAAAAAATTAAGAAAAGGAAAATCATTCTTTTTATTGGAGACTGTTTTTTTTTTTTGCTTCGCCTTATCTAATTTTGTTGCTGAATGTAACTCTAAAGAAACAAAAATAAAAACAGTACACAAATTATTTAAATTATTAATTTGTTTTTATTTTTTTTCTATTTCAATCTCTTTTTATTTTGTTAGTTTTTTTGTTTTTTTTGTTTTTGAAACTTTTTCAGCATTATTATAAAACTTGCAAACGGCCGTGTTTACGTTTTCTAAAATACTATAATTGAGTGTGGTCATACGAGACAAAAAACCGCTCGCCTTTCCTGGGAAGGCTTGATATATATATATATATATATATATATATATATATATATATATATATATATATATACACTTTTTTTTTTTAAATTTCAATTCCCCTCCTCAAGGCCAAGAAGGTCACTACAGACGAGGAGGCTACTTATTTGTGACTATAACCCTCTCTCAACTCTATAACTCCGAAACACAAACCTTGACGAACAAGGCCGCTGCGCGGAGAAACAAGTTGAGCGCGGTACTACCAGGGACGTGGTAGGGATCGAACTCGGAACCACTCGTTTATGAAGCGAGTGCTCTACCACTACACCACTACCGCATTTTAAATATAGGGGATACATATACACATAGGGGATGTTGGAGAACATTCGACCACTTAGCTAGTTTTTATTAATTTACCAATGATTTTTTTCCAAAACATTTAATTTTCTAAAAGCAAATAATAATAGCTGTTTTACAACAAGATTTGCGAAGTTATATCAAAATAAAAATAACGTTGCCATCTTTGCTGGAGTCGCAGACATTACAAGCGTTTTTTTTCAGGTTGATGACTTTTCTTCTTTTTTTTAATTTTTTTCAAATGAACTTTTTCAATCTTTTCCTTTTCAGGAGTGTTAGCAAATATCGTTGACTTGATTTCCTCTTTATTTATTTTGTCTTTGAGAAGCTTTAGGCAAGGGCTACACATCTGGAATCAGATTTTAATTGTTATAGTTATTCTAGTAGTTGCAGGAGGAATGCGTTTCATTGTTAGATAAGAGTGGTAAATTATTTTGTAATGGTGTGCCTATTACCCCTAGACTTTCACTTGGTTCTCCCATTAGGGTTCTAATCTGGGCATGAAATCTTTTTGCAGCTTGTGGTTCAGACAGCGAACTATTGAAAGTAAATTTTTTCTAATACCACATTTTCATTTCTTTTTTTTCGTTTCATATTTTCAAGGCATCTAAAAGAGAAATAAATTATCGTGGTAATTTTTATCATGTTGGGAAATATTTGAAAAGGTTGAATGTTCCCATGGTCGAATGTTCCCTGTCTTCCCCAACATACATACATATGTATTTTTATGTATGTATGTATGTTTATATGTATATATAAATATATATTATATATATATATATATATATATATATATATATATATATATATATATATATATATATATATATATATATATATATATATATATATATTTATATTTATATATATATATATATTATATATGTATGTATGTATGTAAATATTTATGTATATATATATATATATATATATATATATATATATATATATATATATATATATATATATATATATATATATATATATATATATACATACATGATAGAATAAAGAAAAGTTCTTTATATTATCATGTATAATATTGTATACTTAACAGAGTGCTCAATAGGTAAACTAGAGCTATATAATGTATGTGTTACTGTTACCTGCAATACCAGGAATTAGCTAAATGCTAATGTTTATAATATAGTTTAATATTGCAACTCTGAGTTTCATGTGTTACCACAATCATCAGGCAAGTAGTAAAAGTTAAATTTTGCTACGATTTGTTTAGTGGACGTTACAGTTTATATTTGTATTATGGATCGTTATGGGATGGAAATTGATTAGTAGTTAGGTTAATAATATTATTAATTTGTTTTTAGTTAGCTAATAGTTGTGAAATAGTTATGTTTGATGTTGTTTAAAATAATTGTTTATGTGATAATGTGCATTATTTTGTAGCGAGCTTTGTAATTTTTTAGTAAGAATTTATTTTCGTGACGGCACTTTGATATAATTTCAGTTCTTTTATTTAGTAATTTCTCAGGTTTTTGATACGATATAATAGCAAATTTCTCATACACATACACATTTTTCTCATACACAGTGGGCACCTTTTGGAAATATTTGAGTAGGTACAGATTAGAGAATTGAGTAGGTACAGATACAGCTTTTAAAACATGAGTTTAGTGACGCAATGCAGAAAAAAAATGTTTTTTTATCAGCATTTTTTCAAATGAAATTTTCTTTGAAATTTCATTTATGGCTAGCCTATTAAGATTTTGTATTTATGATTTATTCATTTGGCAATCAGACAATCATAAAAAAAAAGCCACAAACAGCAAAGATTTCATACTGAATTATTTTACAGAAAAAACTATCAGTTCTGTGACAAAAAAAAGATGCAATTAAAATGTTTTAAAATTTTTTTTAATTTGATAATAAGTTTTAACTAGCTGGCCGGACTCGTAAGAGACGGATCTTGGTAAGTCATGGAAAGATAACTGGCAAACATGGAGAAATGAAATTTCTCCATGTTTGCCAGTTGCTTTAAGTCTTTAAAATATACACCACAATCTACAAACTTATATTATTTAAAAACTTTGGCATATAAAATTCACCAAATGGT